ATGAAGCCTCCAGCTTTGTTCTTTTATTTTAAAAGATAGCTTTGTGTGTAAGAGATCTTTTGTGATTCCATAGGAAGGGCGAAAAAATTGACCCAAACCAAACCTTGAATACAAATAAAGATGCTGTCTCAGAAATGTCTGTAATACTTTACAGATGTTCACTTTGATACACAGTGAGCAATAAAGAGAGAGGACTTTAATAAAAATTACAGCGACCTCTATTTAAGCACAGTCTAACCAGGTACTGGGCTATAAACATGTTTCCAGATTAAGGTCTTCTATTGTCACAACCATTGGTGAGATGGATATCACTTTTTCCCATTTTATGGATCAGAGTTTAGAGAGGATGAGTGATTTGCTTAGGTTCACAAGGTAGCCCTCAGGCCTGCACCTAAACCTCTGTTTCTCTACTCAAAGCCTGGCCTTGCAAAGGCAGCTCCAGTTCTCTGGATCAGCACAGGTTTGGGGTGGATGGGGACTGCATTATTTCAATCAGCAGCTGTTGCAAATAGTGAGAATGCTCAGAAAGAGCGGCACAGCGTCCTAATTACCTGTGGCAAGGAAAACATCTGTGTAAGAAAAGTAATGAAATTAATTCTAACGTGGAGCAGTTGCATACATTAATTGACATTAATTAATGCCAAATTACAAGACACTTCCTATGGAATCCCATCATACGCTCACCAGAATTGAATATGGAAAGAGTTCATCATACTTAATGCTATTACAGCAAGCCCTGGGGGAGTGAGAGTGATTGGTCTCTCATTATGAACTGCAGCCAATTTCTTTCTATTTCCATTAGAAGGAGAAAGGGAACAAACCAGGGAACACTTTACCAGGCAGGCAGCTCAGAATGGATCATTTACCCTTCAGCTTGTAAATTTCACTTTGAGCCATTCTGAGAAAGAATTGGTTTAAAGACTCCTTCCAGAGGCTTTTCCTGTGTCACCAAAATGTATACTTTGTCATTCTAAAGCCCAAAGACAGACTCATGTACAACTCAATTGCAGAATGCAGCATGGGTTGGAGGAACCCAGAACATGCTGGTCTCATAAGCCCAAAAGACTCTCCCTATCTACCAAACTGAGAGGTGTGGGACCAGCAATGGGTACACAGGTTGTCCAACCTCCTCACATTGCTGCTTTTCCTCTATTATTGAGATAAATGTTTTATTCATTTTTTCCTGAGCAGTCATGCATCTATTGATATCTATATATAAACAACTTGCCAAAAAAACAAAAAAGGGGACCCATAATGCACATATTGTGGTAACCTACTTTTTAAAAACTTTTATTTTGGAATAATTTCAGATAGAAAAGTTACTGAGATTGTTTAGAGTACATGTGCTCTCCACCCAGTTTCCTTCAGTGTTCACATTTTTATAACCTAAGGTATACCATTCAAAACTAAGAAATTCACTTTGGTGCCATACTATTAATGGGTAACTTCCTTATACAATATAAAATTCAATACATATCCCTTTGGATTTTAATAGCCAACTATGCATGTCCCACGTTTATTTAACTGTCCCTCTATTGGTCATTTTGTTTTCTCTAATTAAAAAAAAAAAAAAATGTGTGTATATATATATATATATATATACACACACACACACACACACACACACACACACACACACTTCCCTGTGATGAAAAACCAAGTGGCCACCTCCTTGCATACATCATTAGTCCCTTAGAATTCACAGAGATGAAACTAAGACCAAAGGATAAGATTTTTAAGTATCTTGATCCCTATTGCCAGTTATCTCATAAAATATGAATTCATGGGTGTTTTCACTTGGGATTTAGGCATATCCCTTGATACTCTAATAGAAGCCAAAATATATTTGACAAAAAAATTGGCCTGAAACTCGCTGAGATTTTTCATGCCACATAGTGTGGTAGAAATAAACCAAAGTTGGAGTCAGGCCAATCAAGTCAAAACCCCATACTGCCATTTCTATCAATCATGAGTTTTTGAGTTTTACTCTCCATATCTGAAAAATCAGTTGATATATCATAGTCCGCAGTGTTGTGATGATTAAATGAACCAAGTAAATGTGAACATCCTTTAGAATGTCTGGCACAGAGTTGCTCAACAAATGTTACTCAGTCCCTCAGATTTATAATTTCATATAGATGAGCTATGAATGTGATAAGTAAATGTTGGTGTTTTTCATCTTATGTTTGTTTGGGGCTCTATGATGACAATAATAAATTTTTAAGAAAGAAACTACTGGATACTATCACAAAAAAGATAAGGAATATATATCCATCAGGAAGCCCTAGTTATGCATCAGCTCTAAAATTACAGTGGAACTTGTAACTGGAGGCCCCAAAATTCCTGATCAAGAACCTTTGATTCAGTTAGCTTTGACCATAGTTTTTATTCAGTATCTCACGGAAGGAGAATCATAGCAGTAGGGCTTTCTGTCTGTCTTTCCCACTCATCATGTAAGCTTCATGCAAAGCTTGGCTTCTTCAGATTATCAAGACAGTAGAGCAGTTTGAACCACCACATTGAGACACAGTGTAGTCCAGAGGCAGAGGAGGCCTTCTGCTGTATCACCAGGTACCTCCTAGATTTAAATGCCCTCTTCTAAATCTAGGAATGCCAAGAGGACTAGGAAAACCCAGAGTGGACCTAAACCCAGTGGGATTCTTCCCTACTTATGCGATGTTCTGAGTCACAGGGAAGAAGGATGAGTCTGTCCAATACGTTTGTTTTTTTTTTTTCCTCCCCAGCAAACGGAGAAGAATGGAGTTTGAGTAGGCCACTAACGGTACCTGATACAGAAATATAGTTACAGTATTCAAATTCAGCTTAACCAGTTTTGTTTAGGATCTGTTATGTGCCCAGGTTGATCTCATCATTGTGACAGATAGCAAAAGAGAAAGCAAGAATATTCTCATTATTGATATAATTGGTATTTGAACAAGTTTGAATTTCAAAACATTTAACATACGCATTATTCCATAATTAATCCTATCTATAAGTCAATCTGTTAGATAATTTATATTGTCATCCCTATTTAATAGATGAAGGAAGCAAGATTCAGGAAGGTGAAGAGATTTCTTTTGAACTAAGCATCTAGTAAATGGCCACAGCAGAACTAAGCTCAGATCTCAAAGTCACAGATTTTCATCATCTCTGACCTCAAGGTACCTTTTGAGAAAATGAAGTAACTTAAAGGCATCAAAAAGGTCTAGTGGAGTGTGAAATTGTACAGACGTTGTGTGTTATGGGGGGGGGCATTTGGAGAAGAGATGAGCCCCAGTTATTGTTTTTAAGGAAAAATATCCTGAGTTATGCTCTAAAATGGAACCACAGGAAGGTCTGGGAAAAGTGACAGGAAAGAATCAGCAGAGGTCCTCTCTTTAGCTCAGCCTAGGAGGTGGTTTCACCAGGAGCAGATGGGGTACTTGGGAGCTACCCCCTACCCACAGAAGGCAGCAGGATGAGGAAGATGATGAGGAAAGCCCTATTTCTTCAGGTGCCTGTGAGCTTATCAGCAATTACATCTTCTTTGGTCAGATGGGGGCCAATCTGCATGCCGCCCCCTAGTGGCACTTCTTGTTGAGCATGGAATACCCGATGTGAAGGTGATCCTGAAAAACTCAACCCTGCTGATTTCCTTAAAATTACTTAGTTAATACTCTTGTCCTCTTCAATGTGCTACTGTCCATCCCCCTTGCATATAAGTTGTGGCCTTCATATATTTTCATTTAGAACAGATTTCTGCATGTGTCTTTAATTCTTAAAATCAAATTTACCCATTCATTTTTAATTAAAAATATATATTCCAATAAAGAGGTGTTGTTCAACATAGAATCATTTATTGCCTATTATGCCCCAGGAACTTAGGACTTGGGTAAATAAAAAAAGAAAAATAAAGTTACCTGTCTCCATGAAGATTGCATTCTAATTGGGAAAGGATACAGAAAAAAGCATTAACATTTGTTATTATGAGATATTCCATGGAGGGAATTAATGTGATGGCATATAATACAGAGCAGTCAGGGAAGATCCTTGGAAGTAACTGTGACCTGAAATCTAGAACCTTCTTTGGTAGCAGCCTGGGGAGAAGCACTGTAGGCAGAGACAAATAAAATGCCTCTGTTGTGGTGGAAAGTTTGGCCAAGTTCCTGAACATAAAATAGGCTGAATTAGAAGACTCACAGCAAGAAACAAAGAGATCAGTGTGGGAGGGAGAAGGAAGTTGGAGTGGTGGGCAGTGCAGATTTTGAATTTATTCTAGGTGCAATGAGGCAAAAGCCATTTTAAGTAAGAGCTGAAACTATCTGATTACATAGGGGTCAGAATAGTGAGCACTGAGAAATAAAAATAGCTTCCCTGATATCACCTCCTTCCAGCAATGGAGACGGAATTGATGTAAGAGTGATTTATCAATATGGAGACTGTGCTTAACAGGAGGTGTAATTTCTAGTGAGATCCAGGGCTCAGCTTACTCATCTATAAAAGCAAGAACAAAGTTTTTGACTCGTGGGAATCCCTCTATTCTGTTTGATTTCTAATTCTTAGAAGAAGCATATTTATATCATTAAAGAATCATTATTTGTAACAACAGCACTTCCACCTGAGATGGTTAATGACTTAATATGTTTCCCTAATTCTGTCAAAGGTGAGAGTATGGAGGGGAAGCCTGCTAAAGAGAAGAATGTAACTATGAAATCACAAGCATTATTTAATGTCAGTGTGGGAAAATATTTTCACTGGGCTTGGGGAAAAAAAATTAAAGAACAGATATTTAGTATTCTGATATGGCAAGAGTTGGTGAGACCACAGGGAGAGGGCGATATTGGTAATTGCAAGGGAGTCGAAGAATAATGATAATAATCGTAACAAAAATGATAGCAATTACCAGTGTGAAGATTGGAGGTTTGTTTAAAGACATGGACATGGCAAGGGAAATACACACCATCTACCCTGACTCTAAAATGCTACATGTATACCTCCACCCCATTTTTTTCTTTTTTCAGATTCACAATACCTTACTTGCCGAATGCAGAACTGCACAGAAACCAACAGAAATAAACCTTTCCCAGGCTACATTGACCCAGACTCTTTGATTGTCCAGGATGATTATGTGTTTGTTCAGGTAAGAAAGATCCCACTTGTACTGATTGTCCCAAAGGCATTTCTCGCTCTTATTTCTGTCTATGTCACCGCGTTTCCACCTGCTCACATGGCTTATGAGTAAAAATGGAAGGAAGGGAGGGAGGAAAGAAGGAACATATGGAGTGGGAAGCTTCTGTACATGCTGATCCTCAGGCAATGTCTAGAGAACCACATCAGCGGGTCACAAAGGCACTACCTTGAAGCAGGAAGGTGGCCTCCAGAATGACACAGAGTTCCATTTGTCCCCTCATCTGATTTGTAGAGCAGCTCCCAGTCATTGCATATGACTGTGCAAATATGCCAGGCTCTTCTATCAGAGGAATACCAAGCTAGTCATCTCCTTCCTGGAACCAACTTAAGAGTAGGGAGAAAGGTGGGAAGGGAAAATGTGCTGCCTGGAGGTAGTGGGCAGCAGAGGCCAGAGTAAGAGTAATCAACCGTTATTGTCAGGACTGAATGCAGTTAGGATAAAGAGACCTTGCATGAGATGTGCTCAGCCAGGTTTTTCACTTCCTAAGAAAGTGAAAGGAGGGAAACAGTTTCCTTAGTGGATAGAAGACACTGGGATTTAGTGTGTTTTGCTTCTCTGGAGCAATTAAGGAAAATGTTAGTTCTGTAGGAACAATGCATTTAAATATTCAGTTATTGCTTTCCATTAATAATGACAAAGGTATAATTTCTAAATAGCTGATACATACTGTGTATCTGCACATATACATACGGACAAGAAATTTTGATTCAGAAAATTTAATCCCATGCTTTGAGGAAGGATTTTTTTTAAATGTTCCATATCAGCCTCTATAATTTTAAGTATTTCATAAATGATCACACACACACACACACACACACACACACACACACACACACCATTTCCTTCTTTTTTAGGGAAATGAGTAATGAATACTCCCATAATTTCAAATGACATTCAAACAGTTATATACATTGGTCTGCCTAATTCATTTCTCTATCAGTGCTTCTCCCAGGAACCTTTTCTGGTCTCTAATAACTGTATCTAATCCACATTTGTAATTCGCAAATCAAAATCAATTCAGCATTCATAGATAGTTTGCTATCTGTGCCACTATAAACATGACTCTCTAACCCACAAAGAGGACTAAGAGGCAATCTGCGCATAATGGCCAAGCAGATGATAACTTTCCTGTCACAATCCTGAGTGTCTGATGTACATTACCCCAAGTATTTGTTGACACTCTATATATGCAAACTCTCACTGATGTTCTATGTCCAGGTATTCACATAGGTTAAGAGCAGCAATCAAGGAAAGAGATGCTGGCAGAGACTGTGCCCAGCCTGGTGCCTGTGCCTACGGGGAGAATATAACCCTTCTTTTTCTCTCTCCCACCCATCAGGATTCAAATTTTCCCAATTTCTTTCTAAAGAGTCCTAAAATAGATTTGGACCATGATCTTGGCTTGCCTTTCTGCCTAGCATGCCGGTGTTTCTGTCTATGGGATGTGCCCACAGTCATCAGTGTGACTTCATCAAAAGGGACCCTGGTGCCCAGAGATGTGAGGCTCCCCTTCCACTATTCAACCAGAGCCATTTCCTTCTGGTATGGCAAAGGCACCTGTTATAGGGCTGGAGAGCTGGGCTGGAGCTGATATACTCTAAGGCTTATATCATTTGGAAACAAAAAAAATAAACCTGAGAATGTTTTCTGGCTTCTGAGCTACAGTACAAATTAAAAGAATTATATTTTTGTACAGTGGGTTCACTTTGGGCCTCTGACTAATACACATACCGTATGTTGGCTGATTTTTAAACTAAATGCCAATTCTTTACACTTGCCTGCACGGGCATCCATTCTGCTGCGTGGGCAACCAACTCCTTCCATTCAGGTAGCACTTCTGTGACCTGCGACCTTTATGGTAGCTCCTCTTACCATCTTGTTTTTATAATACAGCTGACGTCAGGAGGAAGACCACATTACTACGTGTCCTACCGGAGGAATGCGTTTGCCCAAATGAAGCTTCCGAAATACGCTTTGCCCAAGGTATATATACCCTGATTGGTTTCTTCCATTTCACTGCTTTCTCTGATTCATATTGTCCTGCCTCCACTCTGTTCTTGGAGACCTTTTCAGCCTCTCACAGTCAAATCTTTCTTATCACCCCACCTCTGTTTCTCAAGCTGGACTTGCCTTACTTTCTTGTTTGCCAGTGTTGCTCCTTCTGTTCTCTCTTGGTGCCCGCCCCCCCATCAATCCCTTCCTTTCTTTCATTATCTCTCTGGAATTCTTGCTTTAGGAGCATCCAAATAAATTAATGGTTTGCTTTTGCTTTTCATTAGTAATGATTTTAACAGTATGCCTTGGTTTTTTCTATAAAGACAAACAATTTATTTGGATTCATTGTATATCAGCTCAACATGTGCGACTCATTTCTATCCCATTTTATTGTTACTATTTGTTTATTGAGAGGTGTTGCAATCACATGACAGCATTATTTCTCAATGGGATTTACTAAATGGGATAGTCTTTAGAGTTCTGAAGCACAGCTAATTTTTTAGACTTCCCCAAACATTCCCCTTTGAACATAGTGGTATTGGGAAGTTAAAGACCCTCAACCACTGGCAACCCCAGGCAATCTTTCCGGAAACACTAAAAAACTACGTTGATACGGAGCGCCACCTAGTGGAGGTCAAACTGATGTGGGCATTCAGAGCTGCCTGTTTGAGAGAGCTCCTATGTATTTTAAGTACCCAACTTGTTAATGTACTGGTGCTTAATCTTAGAACAAGGGAGGTACATGTGTAAAATGTTTAAGAAGGGGATTTTGAAGGTTTAAATAGAATTATAGGTGGACTTTGAGAAAACCTAATGAACTTTTTTTTTGATTGGATGTTCAACACAGTCTCTTTCTCTTATATTTTCATCCTCTGACTTTGTAGTATGCCACCTTCAGCCAATACAGGTATCTGGACAAGAAATTATGTGACAGACCTAGTACAGGGGCATAGCAGGTCTTCTCTCCCTGGAGAGCAATGATAACAAGTTGCTGACTTCTCTAGGCAGAATCTCTTAGGGGGCACCCAATCTACCCCTTATCCTAACACTGAACGGGGGGATGAAAGACCCAGCCATTAGAGGTGATAAGGCACATTGAATTGCACTATTAACTCCAAGGATCTATCTTCATGAGAGCAGCTATTATTATTTTCAGCTGCTAAGAGATCAATGACTGTCGTAATTGCCCAGGCCCATGTGTCTGTGTTGGAATACACATTTAAGCACTTCTTCTCTTGATTTGACTTAACTTTTTTTTTTCTTTAATAAGGTAAGAACTTACAACATTGAAGTTTTGCCTTAGAAGAAAATTGGATGAAGTTTGTTTGTAACAGGAAGACAGAGTGTTGTTAAATTGCACTCAATAACCTATTAGAAAGGTTCTTGAAAGAGATGAACATATTACCTCAGTAGATAAAACAACAGTTTCCCTCCTAGTGCTGAAATAAATTGTGATTTCTCTGACCCCCCCCAAAAAATGAAATAGTTGACTTGCAAGATTTGTACCTTTGAAAATAAGAATTACACTCATGTGGAATTGAGACCAGATCAAGAAACTGCGGCTTCGAGGTACTCACTAGGGCTCATCCTGGGGTGAATGTACTCTTTGAGTAAACTAAATCTGAGCCAAAACCAAATGCTATTTGCCAAAGACTTGAGGCTAGAACTAAAGTCTTTGGGCCCCCAAGCTAGTGTCTTTTATACATATTTTATTTCTTTAAATGTAAATTAATAACTTCTATTGTTAAAACATAGCAGCACTGTCCTTCCCTCAAATGTGATATATCACCAGGGGCATGGAGAGTAAAAGCCTATTGACTTCAGGAATCCCCAACATGATAGTTTAAAATCAAAGAAGCTTGTGTGGACCCATAGCTGGGAGATTTGGAAGAAAGACATTTTGCATTGCTTGGTCACAGCCATCATGCAGATCATTGCTGACAGTGGCCTCCAGTAGCATGCAGCCAATCTGGAAGGAAAAGCTCTACTCTGAATCCAAATTGGCTATCTGTCCCCTCCCTCTGCTCTTCCGAATGAGTGTGTTCATGGCTCAGGCTCCTTTGAGCACTAAGGATAAAATGCAGTGTCTCATTTATCCTGTCCCCACAGAAAATGGGAGCTGATGTACAAATGAATGGATTATTGAGTCCAGGTGTGTTGTATTATATAAAGCAATGAGGTGCTCCATACAATCCCATTAGACCTTCAAAAAGGAGGAGAAGTGATCTGTGGCAAAGGCCCATATATTTCCTGGCCTTCATCCGATCCAAGGCTGATGGGACTTTAAAGGAAGGAAGCTTGTTGCTGACCAAAGGAATTGAGACAAACCAGCACGTTCATGCTCAAATCTTCTTTAATCACCTATTGCCATTTGTCAACTCTTAAAAACCAGAGTTACCCATAACCATGTTTACAAATATATATATATATATATAATGGTGAAGAATAACCAGGGAGCGAGTTGGGTAAATTTTAATGTTGCCATTACCATTAAGAGCATGTGGTCCTCTAGATCAGAGAGACATAGTGACAATCTTCCTTCGCTTGACTTACTGGGGGCTCATTCTGAGCTACTCAAGTGAGATAAATGAGGCAATACATACGAAAGTGCTTGGAGCATTTCGGAGGACAGATACTCTATAAAAGCAAGGTAATATTATTATTAGTATGGATCTGGTTGTCACCATGGTGGAAGATCAATGTGTACCAGGGTGCAGGGGGGCACGGAGGCTGTTTGATTCGCAACAGAAGACCCAGATGGGAACCTGGATCTGTCACTAACTTGCTTTGAAACCTTGGGTGGCTGATTTGTCAATTTTTCTTTTCTTCATTTTTTTTTAAATAAGGCGCTTAGATTTAAAAAATTATTTTCTCAAATGTGTTACTCAGAATAAAATGTCCTCAGTGATGTTCTGCAAAAATTTGGTCCTATGATAATATAAATTTAAAGGAATAGACTCCATTATATGTTCCTTCCCTAGAGACTAACAGGAGCTCACTGGTATGCTGAAGAACCTTGAATGTACTCTCAGCAAGAAAGATCTTTAATTCAGCATTAATTCAGAATTTTACCAAAGAGCCCCTACTTTCCTTTTTACATCTTATTAAAAACCAACAATGCTGTTTTCCTACAGATCAGTTATTAAAAATGCTTTAATAGAAAAGGTATAAGATCCTGTGTTAGTCTAAAATCATGTGACTCCGTGAAAAAGAAAGAACACATTTTCCTGAAGACAAGGAAGATTTAGGCAAGATGGAAAAAGAAAGGTGACATTTAAATATGTTTGGCTTTTTAATTGAAACATTTAAGACCAACATCGTTTTTAAAAAGGCTATTCAATGTAATTAGAGTGGATGAGGAGAAAGAGATATGTTCTCAGCCCATGTCTAGAGATGAAAATTTTAATCTACTATCATTATGTGACAGATTCTCTTAAGTCACCTGGAACTTGATGCATCTGTGCTTCAGTTTCAAATCCACAAAACAAGCCTCTCTGCAAGGTGGGATTCTATAGATGATCTGCTTTTGTTCCCCAATCAAAGATTATTTAATGTTTATAGCAAGGCTCACAGAAATTCTCCTGTGCAAATATTCACTCCAAAGGCACAGACATATAGATATACTAGGACCAGTTTACTCTTGAAATAGAGTAATTTGAATTTGGGGATTATATTATACTGTTGAAGGAAGGAAACATGAACTGGGAGTAGTTTTTTTGACAATTTTAAATGCCAGGGTAAGGACTCTGGTCTTAGCCTTATAGAGAATGGGGAGCCATAGAGGGTTTGTCCCTCAGTGGACAAAGGAAGGACAACCCTGGGGCTCATTTGCACAGCTAATTTCATTAGAAAGAAAACATTTGGATGAACCACCTTTTGTTGAGAGCATTAGTGAAGACAAAATAGAAAAGCCAACTCACTTTGCCCGATCAACAAGGGGGATAACAGTGGTCCCTTAACTGAAAATAGCTACCATTTATAGAGCATATGCTAAGTAATGGGCACTATTATAAGTGTATTAACACTTAATAACTACTTTTATCTTCACAGTGCTATTTTTATCTCTATTTTGCAGGTGAAAATTCTGAGCACAGAGTTCCACCTGCATGGCTGAATTAAAGAGCCAAGATTTGAATTCCAGTTACAAGGGAGGGGGTGATAGCTCAGTGGCACAGCACTTGCCTAGCATGCCTGAGGCCCAGGGACCCAGCTTTGCAGGGAAAAAAAAAAAAAGAAAAATAACTCAAGCGACAATGAAAAATTTAGTATAGAGGTGAAGGAGAACTTTCCAGCACTAGGATTGTTACTAAGGAATGATAGCCAGATCTCCTGAAGTGTCTGAGGAGAGAGCCAGGTCCATTTCTGAAGATTTGAGAGAGAACATAAAGGCCAAGAATCTTTCCACATTTTTCTTCTACCCTTGTGATATGTATAGCTTCGTATTTGGAAACTTTTTTTTTCCCTTTGTTTTTATTTTTAATTTTTGGAAGTTGTATTGTGTCTACTGATTTGGGAAAAATAAAAGGCAGCTGAGAGCGTGTGAACAGGTATCCCCTAAAAGAGACAGGGACCCTTGGTTGGGGATGGCAAGTTCTTGTCTGTGTTGGAATCCACTTCTATAGAGTTCTGAACAAGGGGAAAGGGTTTGGAATTTCACCCAGATGCAGCTGCCCCCTGCTTATTATTAAAGGATCTTATTGAGATGCATATTTTGATTTCATAAATGGGCCCTGAAGTTCTGTGTATCTAACAAGCTTGCAGATGGCATCCATTTTCTGAGTCTGTGGACCTTGGTAAGAGATGAAGCGTTTTCTGTTTTCTCTCTATTCCTGCAGACTTTCCTCATATTTGCCTCACATAAGCTTTACCATGTTTAAACTTGACAAATATATCAGAATGATTGGTTCTCCATAGTCATATATATTTAAGACAGTATTCTTCAAATTATCTAATGAGGACATTAAATTATAACTGAGCCACTAAGCATCTCTCTCATTTTCTCATGACCTTACTGCCTGACCTCCCACATGACAAAGAAAATATATGATTAACCCTTATCTAATTGTTATTTTTATATATGCAAATGGATGCTCTCTGTCTTTCATCAAAATGCTAATTCTGATATACTTCAGTAGATCCCAAGCTTATTAGATGCACGCCAGTTAACGCATAAAACTCTTCTTCCCTCTTCAATTCCTGTATCTTCCTGCAGGATATGCATGTCATTAGCACAGATGAGAACCAAGTGTTTGCAGCAGTCCAAGAATGGAACCAGAATGATACCTACAACCTCTACATCTCAGACACCCGCGGTGTCTACTTCACATTGGCCTTGGAGAATGTCCAGAGCAGCAAAGGTCCTGAGGGTAACGTCATGATTGACCTCTATGAGGTATGTCACCAGGTACATGTGGTCGCTGAGCCATAGCAGTGGCTGGACTGGCCAAGGAAGAGCCAGCGCCAGCCGTTGGATCATTTTATTACTGTTTCCATGTGCAGTCTCATTGCACTTGGGAGTTGAAGGGATTTATGGGATGTTCTTGTTAGTTAATTTGCAATCCACAGAACTCTCTGGGAGGCATTCTCTTTTTGACCAAGTCTGCAAGATGTGAAGGCCCAAAGAGGACTTGGAGAGTGTCTGGGTAGATAGACAATGAAAGTGTTTGCATAAGTGTGTTCCACACATGGCCATTTGAAAATAGTTTGACGAGGCCGACAGGGTGCTGCGAGAAGAACCAGTGGGCAGAACTCCTTTATCTCTCTCTGAAGAGTGAAAGAGACAGGGACATCTTGGCATGACATCAGAGCACACTTTTTAACTCAGTGACTTCCCCTGGCTAATGATCTTCCTCTTCCTGGACCAGAATGTGAGATAAGATTAAGAGGTTTTTTTCCCTCCCAAATCTGGGAAAAGTAATTTAACAAACCACAACAAAACCAGAGCTTTCTGGATTCCCCAAGGGAACTAAGGCTCTTCATTCCTCAAAATAATACAAATTCAAAATAAATTCATACACTTTGGATCAACCAGTTTTGAGACAAACACCAATGCTTTAATTGCCTTTTAAGGCACAGTTAGGTAGAAATAAAGCTAGTATTGGGGGTTGTATTTTAGCATTTGCCAGTCATATCATGCACTAAGAAGAATTTATAATGGGTTATAATGTGTCATTTTAAAACATGCAGGATTTGGAAAATATTATCATACCTATATTCTATCTGAGAAAAAAATCTAAAATGGATTTAAATATGTAGTATCCTAATGTCACAATCATTTGGTGGAGGGTAAATTCAGACTTTCAAGTAGTTGTTTGTATAATAAGAAGCAAGGGAGTTATATCCAGGATGAAAGAAACCAATTTCACTTACAAAACTCAAGCCCATCATTGTAATTCCTCTTAGTGTTTTCTGTTTTCCTTCCCCTTCAGGAACTCCTAGAGATGTCTTCTAGGAACTAGAATTCTCTGTATGTATAAAAGCTGGTTAACAAATGGTCTGCCCAATTCATTGCCCAAGTATTTATGATGCAATTATGACAGACTAGCAAGGGACATGATTTTTGTGTGTGTATTTAGAAAAAATGTACTGCAAACTTTTCCACTTTCTCTCCTGCCCATATTTCAGGTAAATATAGTGTCTTACATCTCAGCCTCAAATCGAACATGTATTCTGGAAAACATTTACATACTCTGGTTATTTAGTTTCAAATTCCCTTTGGATGAAATTTAATTTAGAGTATAGATTTTAGATTCAGGTTACCTGGGTGAAAACCCTTGCTATACCATTTGTTTGTAGTTTTGAGCCAAATCTATACTCTCTCAGCCACAGTGTCCTTGTTTAAAATATGGAGATAAAACACAGGACCTCCAGGATGGAATCTCTCTGAGAATGAAATGAGTTAATCCTTGTACGTGTTGAGTGCACTACCTGGAATACGGTAATGCTCAACAAAATGTAGATGACATAATTAATATATTCCAAAGAGTCTAAACATCAATATAATCTTGTATTCTTATAGTCTTCAAATATGCTCTCATTGTTTAAATGGTCAATACATTTCCATTATTTTGGATTTCTACTTCTTCTCATATTGCAATTAGCATTATGACCATATGTCCTTTTTTTTTTTTTTTTTGACACAAACTAGTTGACTAGTATAAATTGTCACATTGCTTTCCTCCTCTGTAAATGCCCCGTGGACATTTAAATTTGAAGTGTGTCTTGTTGAAATACCGCACATTCTCTTCCCTGGATCCAGAATTTACAATGGAAGTGTCTTCAGGTGTCCAGCTGTTGTGATATCACACCAGCTGCCCCAGCCTAATCGCCCAGGGTGCTTTCTTGGGTCTAGTTTTGTCTTTGGTCTCTGGAGTACATTTTCTGATTTTTCAGGTAGCTTCCTGATTATTCTCTCCTCTTTTATCAAGTCCATTCAAAATAGAGTTTCCTGATAAATTTTGTTTTCTGCCAGAAGTAAAGACCATTTTAATTGGTCCCTTGATAATGGGAAAGATGACAGATCTGAGCAGGAATGACTTTGCAATGTCTTGTTATTTGCGATTGTTTTCATGGATTGTTTTCATAATTCAAATGTTGGCATTGGTATGGAATTAGAATAGGAAGCAGGGTGACCTCTGGACATGGCAAACATTTCTTTGTTAATCCTGCAGTTCCCCTTTGTGTCTCTCTTGCAGTTGACTCTCTGTAGGGAAACTGCTGCCTCTGATTATCATCACTTTGAGCAGTGGTGTGACTGTATTATGTAAAGGTGTTCTGCATCCTGGGGCCGGGAGCGAAGCATCTTTGTTTTATTAGCCTGACAGTTCACAGCAACTTGAATTGAAATTGATGTGATCAGAACGGCAGTGCCATATCTGCTGATTACCTAGATACAAAGAATATTGGCGGACACGGAGCCTGGCACAAATGTTCCCTTAAATCTGATTGTTCTGGCTAGCAGGAAGCTGAAAGCCATCCAGCATGAATTTCCCAGTAGAGTTGCAATGAATGATGAGAGCTTAGAGATAAATGAAAAGTAAGAAAATCCATACATGAGTTATTAAGGAACAGAGATGAGCATCATAAGAGATGGGGGAGACAGGGATGGAATATACGGAGTGCACGTCTGCTCACATTTGGGGGTGACTAAAGAGGATGCCATTCATTGTTTATATGCTTCTGCATGCCAGTCACCTGCTGTTTCTGTACCTGCATTCTCTTGAAGCTATTTTAACAGAGGTGAACTGTTTCAGCTATGAGCGTGTAGATGGGTCCATATCTCAGGAATCTACATTGTTGATGGGTCCTTATGGGAAATGCAGAAGGAAGCAAAAGTCTCATTGAAACCATTTTGTTTGCACATACATTAGAACCTGGTTACTCCATCCTTTACTCTAGCACTACATATGTATAGGGAATGAGATGGGAAAATGTTGAGGACAAAGTGTTGGGGAACAATCTCCTGTGGTTTAATTATTAAAATTCCAGAATTTTCTCTTGAGTGTGAATTTGATATTGAACATGTCCCTTGTTTAAGATGGTGAAGAAATGTGAGCCAGAAAAGTTGGCTACAGATAAAACATGTTAGAAATGTTTTTGGTTGTTGTAGATGAGACATAATAATAATAGCAAATATTTTGGGGTGGAAATTTTGTACAAAGCACTGTGGAAATAATCTTCCATAACTATATCATTCAATCCACATTTGAACTTTGGAATATAGAGGGACTATAATCACTCTCCTCTCATTAAGTAAATAGAGGTTGAGATAATATATCCATTTTTGCAAGGATTCAAAGCTAGTTTGTGACAGAATTAGGACCTAAATCCGAGAGTCTGTAAACTCCTCACTATGAAATATTGTTTCTTCCCTGAAAGATTAGTATCTGCACTTGTTTCTGATTGCAGATGAGTAATGGCATCAAGATTGAAAGACATTACAGGGCAGGAAAATTGCATTAGACTTTGCCTAGCAGTGCAAGAAACCATACAGGAAGAAGAAAACTATCTGAGGGAATATTTAATATGAAGAGAATCAGCAGTTGATGACTCCAGACCTATACACTACCTTCAGAAGCAAGTCCTGACTTATAAGGCAGTACTTACACAGGGCTCCAAATTTTTGTGTGGTGGATGCATGTGTGTAAGAAAAGCCTGGAAGCAAGTTGTCCTAAGACATTGCTATTCCTGAATAGCTCAAAAGTTCCTGTAGCATTGTATGAGTTAAATAACAGAAGACAGCATGCTTGATGGTGGCCAGAGCGAAAGGGATGTGATGAGTGTGTCTGAGACATGTGATTCCAGTGTATTTGGGTGGTGTGGATGATGAAAGGGAATCTGACAGCTTTGGACAATATCTTCCCTCCTTTGGGAAGGGAATATTAATTAATGATGATGAAGAGCCCTTTGGCTTAATGGGCAATGACAGTTCACCCAAGCTGAGTGGGAAAGGTTGTGTTAGGAGTGAAGCCACCTGGCTGACAAATTCAGAATGCACAAGAATGTGGGTGAATGGATGAGCCATGGCATGCATCAGGAAAGCCATAACCAGTGAGCAGGATGCCATAGCATCTTTAGCACATTATGTATGTCCTGTCTTTAAAAGAGAAAACTCAACAGTCCCAGTACTGCTGATGTGACTTCTTGAAGAAAAACTACCTCTTACAAGATAGGAAAGAATGCTGTCCAATCAAGACATCCTTATTACAGGATGTAGAACAGGTTCCTGTCTCTCCAGGAGGAGAGTGTCTTTTGATCAGGGGAATAGGGGAAGAAAGAACATTTAGACCTTTTTTTTTTTTTTTTAATCAAGTAAGTTCTCTGGTTGCAGAGGCAACCCTGACTGCTTCTGAGTACGTGTCTCTTCTGGCTGAGATCTTCTCTTTAGAAGATAAAAATATCCCATCACAAAGCCCAAAGAAATGACAGTTATGAAAATGCTCTCTTTCTTGCCACACTTTTTCATCTGTTTTTAATTCTCCTCAAATTTTGACACTTAGGATTTTTGATTTAAGTTGAGAGAGTGGAAATAATCATCTCTCAATCACCATCAGAATAGAAATAAGGAAAATACCAGCCGAAGGCTGCTCTCAACATTACCTCTACATGAACCATTGGTGCAGGGGACAACCATCTAGAGAGTGAATCAAAAAAAATGAGGAAGGTATGTGAGGTTCTTCCTTTAAATCAAAGAAATCCCAACATCTAGCACATTCTCATTCTCAAAAAAAAAAAAAGAAAGAAAGAAAGAAAATCTGTTGAATAAAGGTACAGTGGCTTAGACAGTCTAGGTGTTTTATCCTCAGTGCTTAGGAGAGTACATGATACACAGTAGATGCTCAGAAAATATTTACTGAATGACTGTTGAGTACATTACTGAAGGATGACTAAAGGGTATTTTCCTATAATCATGATATCCCGATATGATATTTCTCTCATGATACTCAGGTAAGAGAAAAGTTTGAAAAAATAATATAGCCACAGTGTTATGAACTCTAGAGTTAGACTAAAAATGGAGTCCAGATCTAAGATTCTCTAGCTGAATGACATTAGGTAAGTGATTGTCCATATCTGAGCCTTGGTTCAATCATCAGCACAATGAGGATAAGTGACTCTTCCGCTCAGAGTGCACCGAGAGACCCAGGAGCTCATGTTTGCAGGAGCCTTTCATGAAATGTCTCGTTATTTATTAGCACTCAGTAAATTTATGTTATTTTTGTAGTTGTTACATCTTCTAATGCAGAACTCTTACTTCCTATTTTATGAAAACAAAATTGGGGCTCCTTGGACAAAGTGACTTTACCTTTAATAATTTTAAAGAAGCAATATGGTGAAGTGAACAGCAATCCAAAGGTTATATTAAGATTGGAAACTGTAATGTAAGAGTTCATAAAAGAAGACGAAGTTGAATTAACTTGTGATAAGAAAGAGTACAAGAAAAGTCTACGGGAAGATTGTCATCCATAAGAAGATTCTACAGTTGTTGAGACCAAGATATAACCATGTATATGCAAAACAAGATGAAGAACAGAGAAATGTTAGAGACAATCAAGATGAAAAGAGGTTCTTATTTTTGGGAAAGGGTTATAGAGCTGGATCTTGAGGTAGAGGTAGAGACCCATCGAGAAGTTGTCTGAGAAATTTGGGGTTGGCCTATAAGCATGAAGAGAGCAAGAGAAAAGAAGAAACAGCACTGTATGATGCTCATGCTCAGATACAGTAAATGTTTGAAGTTCTCTCTACTAGGTTGAGGTTTGAGCTACTGCATATTCGTATTAAAAAACTAGTAAAAATGATAACTTGGCTTCTATAATATTAAAAAACAAGAAATAATTTTTCATGATCTTTGAGATTTCTCTTATCCAATTCATCCATATGAGAAGTGAAGAGAGAACAGTAGCTTCCCAAGACACCAGCCCTCTTGGAAGTCTTTCTGTAGAATTCAGTGGCATAAAAGTTAACAGCCCTTTCCCCAAAGGAAGATGAGCTTCCACCAGTGTGCTGAACCCTTTTCAAAGGAGTGTCTTTGCTGGAAATGCTGTGTCCACGTGAAGGCAGAACTTCTGCTGGGAATACTACATTTCCCCACCCTTGCCATCCTTCAGTTTTACTCAATTCTTTTTTTAAAATTTTTTATAGTTGTAGATGGACAGAATGCCTTTATTTTCATTGCTTATTTTTATGTGGTGCTGAGGATCCAACCCAGTGCCTCGTGCATGCTAGGCAAGTGCTCTGCCACTGAGCTATAGCCCCAGCCCCTTACTCAATTCTTAAACATGCATGTAGTGTGGGCACAGAAGGAGGTCATCTGGCAATATAAACATGTTCTTTCATCCTCAGTGGGACCCCCCACCTTATATACACCCACAAACACCCATGCATACCCACACAATTTCACATTTGGGACCCTTTTGAGATCCATAGGCCTGCAATGAGAAGGAACACAAAAGGCATTATGAGATCTTATTAAAAAAGCATTAGAAGAAAGTACCTCCTGCATAAATAAGGTTGCAGTGAGAAACACAGATGGATTGATCAAGCTCAGAGGCAGAGCAGAGTGAGTGGCACAGAACCTAGGAGCAGGGCTGACCATTTTTGCATACCAGGCTAGAGAGCAAGACAATAAAAGACACCTCAAATGGAAAAGTGCCTTGGCTATAAGAGGGGAAATAAACAGACTCTCTCCAAATATAGCCCCTGTTGATACACATTCCCTCTACTTTGCCAAGTTTTTATTCCTCAAGATAAACCTGAAGGCCAAGCTGCCAGAGATGAATTACAAAGCCCAACTCTCTGCTCAAGTAGCATTTGATAATGCCAAGCAGTTGGGGCCTAATAAAATCACCACTTCTGCACATCAGATGAACCAGATCTACACATGCATAACCCTACTCTGCTGCCCTTGGCAAAAGGAGGAGAGAGCAGGAAGGAAACTGGGCAATGAAAATATGGGACTAGGTAACATTTTTATTTCTTATCGTAACCCTCTAGAGTACTGAGTGACTAACTAAGACAGAGTCGTTTCTCATTTCTGGTTATGGTATAGAGAGAAGACCAGCATGACTTTGTTGAAAATTCTGATATATGAAATTTAATTTTTAAAGAACAGGCAGTTTGGTCATATTTAAGTTTCTAACAGCTGCTTGAACATATGCAAAAGTAATATGGAGTTTCCTGGTGAGCAGCCCTTATGGAGCTGGTATTGCAAATAACTGGATATAATTTGGAACTAACATAGTGTCATTGGGAGTTTGAGTGCCCCAATAGCTCCTGCCTAACTCTTTTTTTGAGGATTGACAATGCACAAGAAATTGTCCTAGCTGCTGTTGATTGCCCAGAATGTGGCTCGTTTTCCTAAGTAGTTCAAAGTATTCCTCTCAGCAACTCGTTTAAACCATTTATTTGTTTAACAAACTTGTAGTTCCAAAAGAGTACAAATTTAGCCCAACTCTAAATTATCCCAGGTGCCAAATCAGCAGGTACTAACTAATGAAGTCTGACTGTGTCCAAAGCAAAGGCAAAGAGTGTGTCTTCTATTGATCGAAGCCCAACCTCTTTGATTTGTCACATTTGGAGCTGTAGTTACTGAAAGAATTTTGAAAGTCATACAGATTTGAGTAGGAAACCCAACGATCTGTCATCATAAACCATTCATTTTGTCTGCACCTTAGTTTTCTCATCCACAGCCCTGGGATAAAAGTTGCTAAAACAGGTTGATAGCAAGTGTTGAAGTTTGTCTATGAAGGACTGGGGATAGTGCTTGACAGTATTGTTTCACTCATCTGATTCAAAATATTCACTTGGTAATACAATGGTTCCAAGTTAAGTAGGTTCAGAGATGCTTACTTATCCACTTATGCCCCATGCACGTGTCTCTGGTAGCTTTTAATCTAAGTCTCCCCTCCCTCATCCTCCAAATGTGGCTCATGAGAACACTCTCTCTTGGTTATCGAGAGCATTAAGGGAGATGCTGCACATGCAGAGATGAAAAGCACAACTCAACACATTTCAGTTCTTTTCTTCACTGCTCTCCATTATTTCTGGATTGGGATTATTTTCTGCAGGGTAAAATCTATGTTTGATCAGTCCAAACCACCTGAAAATTCAATGCACAGTGGATAACTTGTTATTGCACAATTTTGACAATTGGTCAATTATTACCTCTTTCTTAACATATAGAAGAAAGCAAATAGTTATCTTCTCAGAGTTAAATAATTGATAAGAACTGCTAATGGTGAGAACAAAAACATTATAATAATGGGACAGGGATCAATTAGTGATTTAGAAAAACAATGTTTTCTTAAGTTTTAAGGTTTTTCTCAAATGTACACTGCATTTGGTGAATTAAAAGAGATCTTATACCAAAAAAAAATCACAACAGTAATTATATTAGAATCTTTGACTTTTCTCAGTTGCCCAAGGCTACAGATAGCTCAGTAATTTAGTCATTAAGAGCACAAGCTCTGAAGCCATTGAGTTCTGGGTAAAAATTCTAGGCACTTACTGTGTGTCCTTAGTTTAATCTTGGGAAAGTCCCGTTATCTGGATGAGCCTGAGATCTCATATGTGGAATAGAGAATAGAGTGATTTTTTCCCCCCCAGGAGGACTGTTAACAGGATTAAATGAGATACGATATTTAAGACTCTGGGTGCTAGTCTAGCATACAATAAAAGTAGCGTTTCTTTATTGAGCACTTGTGAAGTAACAGAACTGAGCGCAACCAGAGTTTATCTCCTGGCAACTGAAGGCTGCTGCCTACCCACCTTAGGGTAATAATAAGCTTCTGTCAAACTTGTATTATGATTCCCATACAACAAGGGGCTGATCTGCTGCTTTCTGTCCAACTGTCTGGGGAGTCATACCTAAGCATCATCTGCCCACCTCCATTCTCACCCTATGTTTCTTCCAAGACAAATACTCTTGGCTGAAGTTTGACAGCCTGCTTTAAAAAAAAAATGTAAACAAAGATGTCCCTTCTTCTCAAATGGATGTATTTTTCAGCCATGTCCATTTTTCCCAGGTAGCAGGGATAAAGGGAATGTTCTTGGCTAACAAGAAGATTGACAACCAAGTGAAGACCTTCATCACATACAACAAAGGCAGAGACTGGCGTTTGCTGCAGGCACCAGACACAGATCTCAGAGGGGACCCTGTGCACTGCTTGCTGGTGAGTCCTCTTGGTGGAGTAGAGCACCCCCACAGTGAAGGCCTGGAAGTGCCTTTAATAAGATGATGAAGCTAGTTCTGGGATTTTTGTTCAGTTGATGAACAAAATGGGCAGGAAAGGGCGTGAAGGCAGAGTTTGCAGAAAAGAATCGCAGAGCTGCCTTTGTGATGAGCCAAGGAGATAAGAGCATATGATCAGTCTTGTGCTCATGTCCAGGATTTTTATTTTCCCCAGTTTTTTGTTTGTTTGTTTGTTTGTTTGGGGGATTTTTGTTTGTTTCTTTCTTTTTGAATTGAACCTAGGATATCATGCATGCTAAAGTGCACCCTTCCTCTGATGGACATTAGCTGCCCTTTAACCAGAGTCCTGACAAGGACCTCGAATGGTAGTTTCAGGCAAAATATGATCATATTCATTTTTCATGAGGGTGTACCATAAATATTCTTACTTTCTTGTGAAAAATCCCCTGTTACAGATCTAATGAGGAATACATTTAGCTGCAAAACTGGTGAACTGAATGCAGAATTGTGTGACATATTCCCGTGGTAATGTTTGCTTGCATTTTGAGAGAAGTTTATGCCTCAAAAAAGGGTTAAGAATTACTAATTTAAACCCGTTTATTTTCTTTATATTATGTTCCACTCATTTGTCTTAGTCTATAAAGCTTGGGCTGAGAGAAGCAATGGCCTGTGGAAAAATGTGACCCATTGTGTTTTTCTAAATAATATCTCACTGAAACACAATCATGTTTATTCATGTCTGTATGGCCAACAAAGCCTAAGATATTTACTTTATAGCCCAGTGAAAAACAGTTGCTGACCCCTGCTTGAACTATGCTTTTCTTTTAATCATTTTACCTTTGGGATATATATATATATATATATATATATATATATGTGTGTGTGTGTAAATTTTTTATATATTTAATGATATCATGGTATCCAAGAGAAGGATCAAAGCTGGATCTTGCCTTCAAAGGAGTTTTCAGTCTACTTCTCTATTTGAGTGAGGTTAAGTTAATAAATGAAAGATTGTAGGGTCACATCTTATTGCTCTTAGTAGCTCTGAGGCCTACTCCATACTTGACGCACCAAGAGATACTCAGTGAATGTAGGAGGGGAGAAAGAGATGAATCATGGATTAAAGTCTCATGAAATTAATATGTTTTGTTTCTGTAAAATAGTTCAGAAGTTGTGTATAAGTGAAGGAAAAAGAAAGGTAGTATATAAACCTCTAGGTTTATATAAGAAGACCACTTAGTTTTAGCAGGAAGGGCTTGGTGCATGGTGCGTGTATATTCAGCCTGTCATCTTCCTGCCCGTCTATCCTTGTTCACACTCTGCACAAACCTGACTTTGATGTTATCCTCCCTCGGCTTGTTGCTTCCATCCTACAAAGCCTGGATGGTCACTTAGCAGGTTCATCCTGCACAGCAGTAGGTGGGTCACCCTCCTACTCGAGAAGACGCCAGCAGCTAGAGCTTGACCTTATTAGTTGCAGAGGATATCACAGTTGTCACTGTGCATCAGGGAAGCAGTCTAAAATTCAGCCTCCCACTCAGCTTCCATCCTTATTACTGGCAACTGGGAGAAAAACAGCCATTTGTTATAGTGAATGCACAAAGCCGTTGACAGATTGAGTAAATATAATAGCGATTTATTGAATGCCTATACTATGCAAGGCACAGTCACGTGGCATGAAAACAAACAAAAAAACAGCATCAAAAACCCCAAACAAGTTCATCTTCCTAGCTAAGCTATTCAAAGTTGGAATATTGTGATATTTAGTCACAGATGCATTGAATGTACCAGTATCTTAATACGGTCTTCCATTCCCACCAGGTACTTTGCAGAGAATGAGAGTGAGCCTATGAGAGAGAATAAACCATGTGACATGGTTTATAGGCTCTTCAGCCTCCTAAATGGGCATTAAAAAATGGCTCTTAGAAGGCTGGGGCTGTAGCTCAGTGGTAAAGTGCTTGCCTTGCATGTGTGAGGTACTGGGTTTGATCCTCAGCACTATATAAAAATAAATAAAGATACTGTGTGTTCATCTACAACTAAAAACATATTAAAAAAATAGAATGGCTCTTAGTTTTTTGGCTCGGTGGTAGAACACTTTCCTGGTATGTACAAAGCACCTCTGGGTTTTATTTTCAGCACTAAAAAAAAAAAAAGAAATTAATTAATATTAGTAATAATAAAATAATAAAAGTGATTCAAACCCAACAGCAAAGTGTTCCCTGCTTCCACCCCAACCCAGAATCATGAAATCATATTGCTGTGCCTCCAAAATAAACTTACACTATTAGTTCCTTCCCTACCCCTGCTGGGACCATCCTAATCCAAGCCACAAGCATGTGTCACCAGACCCACAGTGCTGGATCCTAACTTTATATCCCCATTTCTATCTGACAATCCATTCTCCACACAATAGCCAAAGCAAACTTTTTGTTTTAAAATCAACTTTATTGAAGCAAAACAGAGAGATAAAAAGCAACTACTTTAAGAGAATACTTTGATGAACTTTGACAAATGTATATACCTACTATCACAATCAACAATCAAGGTGGGATATTTCCATCACCCTAAAAATCCATCTGGGCTCTTTTGCAATTAGAATCACACTCCCACCCCTAGAAAACCCACTCTTCTTCCTTATATTAAAATAGATTTCTCTTTTCTCAAATTTCATAAAATGTTATCGACTTAAACTTTTGAAAATCCACATCATATCTCTCATTAACGTCAGCATTCAAATGGTTTTCTAGTTCAAATTCCTTATCATGACTGACAGGTCCCATATGATCTGGCCTCTGTCTACTTCTCCCTGATCTCTAACCTCTAGCTCCACCTTCCTTACTCAGAAGCCCTGGTTCAGAGGGGTGAGTTCTTTTCACATCATGAATAAATATAATGTATTCATTTATATCTTGGAGTATTTGAATTTCTTATTATTTTTTAAAATGTCCTTCCATTAATTATGCTTTTTCTTGGCATTCAGGTTCCTACTTCTCAAACAGCTTTCTTGAGAATCCAGTAAAGTTATATTCATCCTAATTCTTTTTTTTCCCCATGACCTCTACTCTATCTGAAATCAGCACATATATCCATTGACTTTCTCATCCACATCCCCCTGTTAAATGCTTCATGAACATGGGACTGTGCCTGTCTTTCTGGCCATTCAAAGATTAGCTCCAAGAATCATATCTGCCACAGGGCAGGTGCTCAACATCCATACCATATTTGGGAGTTATGCTTGGAGTATACTTGAGAGTGTTGTTTGAGTTTCACATTTGGACTCCAGTGGAAGCCATGTGTTCCCTTGGATGATGACAAAGAAGGATTTGTTGTAACATCCGTCTCCTGAAGCTCTTGGTCTCAAGTTGGCTTCAAAGTCAACAAAATCACAATCCTCATTAAGATTGAGGAGAGATGAATTACTGTGATGGAGATGTGTGGTACCCAGGAGTCCTTTATCCTTCCTCCTTCATTAACCCTATTGCTTACTGCATTTTCAACAAGGATGCTTAAAAAACAGGTAGCTGACTGACGGAGGTAAAATGGCAAAGGGGTGGGGAGGAGAGACCAAAATCACTTTTTAAAAATCTGCCAAAGGCCACAAAATAGCAAGGAAAATCTTTGAGCTACAGGAGACCCAGACTGTTAAAAACCTTCTTTAGGCTCAGGAGCTGGTTGGCAGAGAGGAGATAAAAAGTGATTTTAGATTGTGAGGACTTGGAAAGTGACAGTGTCACCGAAAGCACAGGCTAGTGATGAGAAAAGAGATTTTTTCCAGCAGGGCTGTTACAAATGTGGAACAAGTTCAGAATTACAGCCCCAAATGGAATGTTCCTGGGAAAATGTATTCTATAGAAATAAGACATCCAGGGTAATTTGGGGCTGTATTTTTAGGACTTTCAGATTGATTGCTTGAAGGACTCAGCTGGGATTTCTTTCCTCTGAAGACTGCATTGTACAATTAGATAGGGTATTACAGGTCATGGTCCACTGGCCTCGAAGCCCCGGGATCGGGCTCCCAAGAGGCAAGATGTGAGCTGAACTGAGCCTGTGACAAATCCTTGGTCCCCTGGGGAAGGTGCAGTGTTTCATGCAGGGGGGCCCTGACTTCTTTATGGATTCCTTTGGCAGTATTTTACTGGAACTGAGCAGGCAGTTGTCCCAAGAGATTCATGACTGTGCTTTCCACCTCACTGCGCTGTGCCTGACACTACATGTGGTGCTGGTTTGGAATAGAACCGAACACCCCACACCCAACCCATTGTCTGAGGGCCTCCCTCTTCTTTGCTATTAAATCTTTACTGAAGAGTTAATGGAGTCCTAGCTCTAATTCAGAGTCAGAAACTACATATAAATGGGTGTATTGGGGTGAGGTGGTTATAGGTATTTGGGAATTTGCTTGCTGCCTTGTTATTTATGAAATTCTGATCAGTCCTTTCAGTACAATATTCAGATCAGTAGTTTTGGGGAAAAGGTACTGTGAAGATAGTATCTAAAGGCTGTTATAGAGGTTGGAAGGAAAAAGAATTTTAAGCTGGTTGACTCTCAAATACTCTCTAACCATTTGTTAAGTTCATTTATATCATAGTGTAGAAATGTCTTCTATCGTTTGGTAATTCCCCATTGGTCGTGAGAGTGCCTAAAACAGGGTAGATAATTAATGATTCACCTGGAAAACATTATGCTAAGTGAAATAATCCAGGTACAAAAAGACAATTACCACATGTTCTCATTTATATGTGGAAACTGAAACACTCAGACTCTGAGGAGCAGAGGACAGATGGTGGATGAATGGGGAGATGTCCATCAAAGGGCACAATGCTTCCATTAGACAGGAGAAGTAAATGATCAGTATTTAAGGTGAAAAACTAGTAGTGGTTCAATTAAATCTAGCAGACATTTATGGAATACTTGCCATGGCCAAACTATCTTGTCAGTTAAAATAAAACATAAAAGAAGAAAGGTCGTTAGAACCTAGAAGTCCACCGATGGGCTTTCAGGGTTTGTGAGCTTCCTGAAATTGAACGGAAACTGTGTGCTTGTCCTTGTGCTTTTATGTGATCCTTAATTTGTATCAGATTTTCAGACATTATACCTGACCCTGAAAAGATTAAAGACTAAGGATCCAATTGTTCCTAGAATTGACCAATTGATGATGTGCCATGGCTCATGCATATGTGCAAGTCAGGCTTGTGACTGGTTCCTCCATCCTGCTGCCAGGTCATTGGTGGTTTCAGTGTGCATTCCTGTATTTTTTTTCAAAGTTTTTCCATATTTTTCTCTTTTCACACTTTTTATTGGTGCATTATAATTGTACATAGTGGTGGGATTTGTCGTTACTCTTTGTACGTGCGCAAGATATAACAACATAATTTGGACAATATCATTTCCCACTATTTCTGGTATTTCCTCCTCTATACCCCCTCTCTCATCCCTTTTCTCTGCTCTATTGATCTCTCTTTCATTTTATTTTTTTAAATGTGGAAATAGAAGAGATACAGAGAACTGCTCTTGGAGCAAGCTGTGCTTTGACTCTGTTGCATTTGAGACAACCCTGGAAATATAGAAGCAACATCTGTGACCATTAGCATAGGGTAGGTAGGTGTACAGGGCCTGCTTGCTAACTTGATAAAAGAAGGCAGGAAAGAGCAGGACATGGTGGCCTGCACATGTAATCCCATCTACCCTGCAGTCTGTGGCAGGATGATTGCAAGTTCAAGACCATCCTGGGCAATTTAGTGAGACTATTGTCTCAAAATAAAATTTAAAAATAGCTGGGGATGTAGCTCAGTGGCAGAGACCTTGTCTATCTTCTGTGAAAGCCTAGGTTTAATCCTTAGAACTGGGGGCGGGGGGGGGGGGGGCGGCGGTTGCTGTTGGGGAAAGTGTCTCTGCATGGTAAACTGTTCATAGGAATCCCAGAGCCTGGTCTTGTGTCCTGCAGGAACTTGGAGTCACTTGATCGTCATTATAATAAAATCTCTCAATTAGTTTTAACTTTGGTGACTTTTAACTTTTTGACAGATGTCCAAAGCAGGTACAGAAGTTTAAATTAAAAAGTGACAATGAATCACTTAACATTGTTTTTCTTCACATATTTGGGTAGACTATGTAAATGCTTTGAAAAATAATATGAAAGAAAGGGGGAAAAAGAAAACCACAGAATATTCTCCATGTACCAGCTGGGGGCAATCCAGTACTACAAATGTGAGAGTGGAGAAAATATACACCAAAAAGATCATTTCTAATGTTGCTGCTACTGTGCAAACTGGTGTCTTTTCCTCTCCAATCAATATGTCTTGGTCCGCTGAACACCATAGCAACAGAGCAGTGAACAGCCAGCCAATTGAAAACGTCCTGTTTCCTTTGTAATGGCGAGTTTCCCACACCAACTAATCCTTGGCTCAAGTGGCAACTGAGCTTCACAGTCTTCCAGCTGTGGCAGCAGCTGGCTCAGGATTGCAAGCTGGGTATTCCCCAATGCAGGAATTTTCTACACTCTTAGTGCAGCAGGCTTTGCATTAAGCCTAGATGTCTAGTTATGATGCCCAACTCCAGTATGCTTCTTGGGATGCCATGGAGATGGTCACATTACTCAGATTGTATGATTTGTGATCAATTCCATGTACCTCTGGCATTGTTCTGAGTAGAATAGTTAATCAATGTCTTTCGTGCCCCAATAAAAAAATGCAATACTTGATATTACATCCTTTTATTGATTCATCTTTTTAATTGGATTCTATGCACAATTCCACAGAAGATGCAAAGAAGTAGTTGACGTGCTCTCTTCATTTGTAGAGTATCTCTTTAGGAGATGAAACTGTACCATACCTGAAATAGGTTACTCAGGATTGTGCATCATAAAATAAATTGTAGTTTATCAGAGAAGGGGAGGCTCTTTCTGATAAGCTGCAGTTGTCAGGAAAATGTTCACGGAGAATATGATTAATGTCCCCACTCTATCCTGTCTTAATGTTGGCTCAGCATTGGGCAATACTGACCTGGGACATCTACAGCATTTAGCAGTATCTATTCTAGTCTTCCTCTTGGACAAAAGGATGCCAGATACATGACTCTGGTGTTTCTTTTTAGAGGGGCTATCTTTCTTACTTTTACAGAGCATTATAAAGTGAAATGTTGTTTGAAACTTTTACATGCAATTTTCATACAAAACCAATCGATTGTTTCTTGGGAGTTTTACTTTCTGTGTTGACAGTGAGGAAAGCACTCTCGTACTATCTGCAGTTTTATTTTGCTAGTATTTTGGTTACTTTTATTCCTGAGTTTCATTTTTAGCTCATCATTTACTCTATCCTATATAAATTTAATCATTGTATCTCTGTAGTCCTCTGAATATCTGTTGACTGAGACTTACAGAGCAGAATAAAAGTAATAACAGAGATACATGGGTGATTCCAAAGACTCAAGTCGATAAGATTAGAAAGTAATCTTCCTGGGAGATGAAAAAAAAATATGGGTTCAAACACAAACTTGTATTTTTTGACAACTCAGTACAAGGACTATTTTAAACAAAATTCGTAGAAGATTTATTATCCTCTTTTTCCTTTTTTTGGAAAGCTTGCATCTAGGTTCATCAGAGATATTGGTCTGTAGTTTTCTAGGAAAGCTGTTGATATCTTAATCAGGGAACTTGATCAAGGTTTTCAGACATAGATAAACAAACCCCTCATATTTTCATTTAAATTTTTGTTACTACTGCATTTTGTCTACAAGTATGACTACTGTATTGAATAAAATGGATTCTAAAAGGTAAGGAGGTGCAGGCCAACTTTGGAATTTTAATAGAGACACTGTGTCTGTTGTTTGGAGAACGTTAAGATAGGGGTACATGTCACACAGTCTTTTCCCAACTAAGACTGGGATTTCAACTGAAGAATGATTAAAAGAGGCCAGCTGACTTTTTCAAAGTTCTCCTGGCCTGACTCAACCTTTTCTGGCTTCAGATTCCATTTCTCCTCTTAATCGTACTGGCTATACCCTGCAACTCTTCTGCTTCTTTGTTATTGATGTTCCCAATGTCTGAACATCTTGCCCACAGTTCAAAGCCTACTCATCCACCATTTTCTCCTAGGAACTCCCCCTGCCTAATCCAAAGTTGGACTGTACCTCCTCACTTTCTAGAATCTCATATAATGTGTTGTCTGTATTTATCTTATGGCTGTTAAAATATTCTCTCTCTTTATAGTAATAAATAGAAAGATCTCATGTTTTCTACTTGAATTGTAAACTCTCAAATGACCAAAAATGAGGCTTTGCAACCCCGTCATAAACTTCCTCTAGAGTTTTATGTATATGGTACTTAAATACTCATCAAATTACCAAATTGGCACTTACATCAGCAAATTACACCTACAGTGAAGGAGCTTTCTATTCTTGCAAACTTGGCAATTGTCTTACACTTAGTAGACACTAGATATTTGTGGAATGCAAGGTGGTAATTGGGTGGACGAATGGGTGGTAAGAGGACACAGGGATGGGGAAAGATAGTTGGGGTGATGGGATGGACAGATAGATGGATGCATGAATGCTCTGAATTGGGGCTTTAGGTGACCATTAGCTTTTGTGCTGTTATGACTCTCATTTCTTCCCTGTGTAGCCCTATTGCTCACTACACCTTCACCTGAAAGTCTCTGAGAATCCCTACACATCAGGAATCATTGCCAGCAGAGACACAGCTCCAAGCATCATTGTTGCTTCAGGTAAGAAGCTTGTCTCCTTTGCTTGCTGCTGTAGATGGTGCTGATTTTAAGAAGCTAGATATCCGTGGTTGGAATTTAATGAGAAGGCTAGAAATATTTTCAAAGGCACCTAAACCATTAACCCTGAAGCAAGTATGTTGAAAACCCCTGCTTGGACAAAATGCTTGCAGTCAAAATCCTTCTCAGGCCATGCAGACTGCTGATCTAGGCCATTGTTAGTTTTTGTGGAAAGTTCTTTTCACTAATGGTGATGTGCTCTTTCTAGGTAATATAGGTTCTGAACTGTCAGACAGCGACATCAGTATGTTTGTCTCTTCAGATGCAGGGAACACTTGGAGGCAGGTAAGAAAAGACCCTGGGTTGTATTGCCGAAGTTTAAATAGCATAGAAATTGTTCAATTTGGTTCAAGTCTAGGAACTTATTTAGCAGTGGTACATGCTACACATGAATCCTAAAACATACTACGTGTTTTTTTTTATAAAAGTCTCAGGCTGGGGTTGTGGCTCAGCGGTAGAGCGCTCACCTCGCATGTGTGAGACCCTGGGTTTGATCCTCAGTACCACATAAAAATAAGTAAGTGAAATAAAGGTGTTTTGTCCAACTACAACTAAAAAATAAATTAAAAAAAAAATCTCAAACAAATATTTTGAGTTTAGCAAATTTTTGTGCAATTTCATTTCTTTTGTTATTTAATAAAGATAATTCTTAATTAGGGCCTGGATGTAAAAACATTTATAAGTGAACATTTTTTTTTAATTAGATCTGATGGAATTTTTCCCATAAAAGAAAAAACAGAATCCCTGTGGATTTATCAAATAGGAACTTGGAACTTAAAGGGTTGATTGTATATCTAATTCCAAGTTGCCACCATAAATTCCCTTTGCCTTAAAGCCAGAACAGAGAAGAATGCAATGATATAGAAATGGCCATTACCCAGGTGGTGTTTTGAGATGCTTAAATCTCATGTGCAAAAGACAGAGTAATAACCATCAGGATGCATATGTTAGATAAAGTAGAAATGGAATCACTTTAAACCAATGTGTTTAGCTTAAATGCTTCCTGCCTTTCTTCTGAATGAAAATTAGATATCCATGGCTTATAAACCAGGCAGTTAATGAGGTTTAGCAATCATAACAAGATATGAGCCTAATGCATGGTTGTTACACTTCAATAAATATGTTTTAATAACTCACTGACGTTTAATTATCATACAATAACTAGTACTGTAAATTAAAATCTAATGCACAGGTAATCACACTTGGCAATGAGAGCACTCTACTTTGAATTTTAGAAAAAAAAACATCTACATGATGGTCCAGTTGCCACTTATTACCTTCAAACGTTTGAAGAAAATCTGTGGGATTCTCAAATTTTAAGAAAAGCATGGCAGGGAAAAAAATTGCATAAGAAACCTCAGAGTAACAAATCTTAGAACTACGCAGAAACATAGACTCTTTAAGGAAGAAGCTTCCTCTGGAAAAGAGAGATGCAGTATTCCATTTTCTTCCTCCCAACACCCTAAACAAGCCATGGAAATCTCTACTTCTATGGTCCTGGTGTGTGTCTTGGGTATAAGAAAGAAACAAGGGGAACAAAAGAATCTGTTTGTGTATATCATCAGACAAGGCTCTTGTAGCAATCTGACTACAAGTATAGCACACGTCTGGTAGAGAGGATTTAGAGATGTTGCCTCATGTTTCCATTTGACTTCAAATTATTTGCTTCATATTTTGAGAAAGTCTCAATAGCACATGTCCCCAAGGTGACAATTTCATTTTGATCAGAACTACTTGCAACTTGGCGGAACTTTTGTGAATTAAACAAGAGTACCTTTCTTTGGTAACACTTGGAATGTTGGAAAATTAGATAGAACAGGGTACCATAACACAGCAAGTCCCAGTTCCCATCAGGGACTGTCTGCATGGTCTTTGGCAAGTCACTACATTTGTCTAAACCTTAATCTTTTAATCTGTAAAAATGAAACTATTGAAGAAAACAGTCTTTAAGATTCCATCCATCTAGAGATATATATGCCGTTTCCTGATATTCTGACATCATCAAAAATGAAAATAAACGGATATTACCCTAATGATAAGAGAATATTAACACAACACGTACTAGATGTTTTTAAATTCATTTTCTTCATACCTAAATATCATTTTACATGTAGCCTAAGTTGGGAAGCATTGTTTAGCTCAATTCCCCCGCTAAATTTAGGGAGATCTATTTTTGTCCTGGGAGGGATTTTTGCTCTCATTTGAAAACTAATTCTCTGTACAGTGGGTGTGTGTGGACGTGTGTCCATGTGTGTTCGTTTTCCTCATCTAGATCTTTGAAGAAGAGCACAGTGTTTTGTACCTAGATCAAGGTGGAGTCCTGGTGGCCATGAAACACACTTCTCTTCCAATTCGACATCTTTGGTAAGGGCACCTGCTGCCTGGGGGACATGCACCTGCTGGTTCTGCACTACAGGACTGGCCTGGGAATCAGGCTATCACACTGTGACTGTGCTTAGTAAAGTGTCAAGATGAGCTTGAGTTTAATCTACACCTTTGCTCCTCTAAAAGAAGATTGTTGCCTGCAGTTTTGGCAGGGGGAAGGTAGAAATGTAAAAGCGGGGGTGATTTTTGTTCTGAAAAGAAGAATTTTCAAATGTGACTGTCAAAACCTATCACCAGTACCTTTTTCTCTCATTGCAATCACAGGTAGGAGGATGTTCACTACTACTCAGTCTCTGAGTAGTTAAACTTGGTGTTATGTCCTAAATAACATCTCCTCAAATACAGAATGTGTTATGTACATTCTGCACAGAGATTAGCCGTTTATGATGGTCATACTCCTATCTGTTTCTCCTGTGAAGCTTCCCGAACTTCCTTTTTTGAGGTGACATTCTGCCCCTTTGCCTGTATATCGTCCCCTGGTGGATGTGCAAGGTCTACCTTCCAGAGGGGTTTCTAGTCGGCTTCTTCCTCTGTGTTTGAAAGTGACTGTCTCACATGTGAGCTTGTTTGAAATCAAAAGCCTGGTTTTCCCTCTAAGTTGTTACTTTGATGACTAAAGAGAAGGCTGCAGAAGAAAAAACAAGGCTTAGTTAGCCTGGGGAACAGAAATCCACAGAGAAGGAGAGCAGAAGAAAATCTCCTGTAACAAAATGCCAGAAACTGGTTCACTCATAAAGAACAGAAATTAATAGCTCTCAGTTCTGGAGTCTGAAAGTCCAAGATCAAGGAGGCACTGACAGATTCAGTGCCTGGTGAGGACTCTGCTTTCTGGTTCCCAAATGGTGCCTTCTTGCTGTGCTATCACCTGGTGAAATGAGCAAAACAATTATTGAGGCCCTTATAAGTCTTTAACCCTGTTCATGAGAGCTCTGCCCTTATGATCTGATCATCTCCCAGAGCATCCACCTCCTAATACTACCAACATATGTGAGGGCACAAACATTCAGACCATAATGGTAACCCTCAGAGGGGCACACTTCTCCACTCTCATTCTCAAGGGCCCATCCTTCTGTTCTCATCCATTAATTCAATGAGGGGAGCTAAGATTTACAACAATGTAAAACCTGCCACCTTTTGGAATTTGCCATTTAGAGATAGGTCTGTTGAAATCCATCTTCAGGATCACATGCTGCTAGATACCAGTGAGGATTTGGAGAGGGTCACACTGAGGTCTAAAGACTAATATAATATCTAAGTTAAAAAAATCAGCCAGAGACTCTTATGATTCCCATTTTACACAATTCTTCCTTATTGGGATCTTAATGCATGAGTCCCACTGGTTTAGCTACCTGTATTTGTGCCCTTTGATATAATGAAGAAGACCTAATCAGACGGAAGGAGGGCTCATTTTGACAATGCCCGAGCTGCCTTTAAAAATGCAGCCTTTCTTGGTTGATAGTATATTTTCTTAGAAAGGACTTTTTATATTTTCTCTTGAGATCCTTGACTATTGTTTTCCTCTATCACTAGGTTGAGTTTTGATGAAGGGAGATCTTGGAGCAAATACAGTTTCACTTCTATTCCACTTTTTGTGGATGGGGTTCTGGGTGAACCTGGAGAAGAAACACTAATTATGACGTAAGTGGAAAGCTATGGTATGGTTCAGCCTTAATATAGGAGAGTAAATCCAGAAAGATGTTTTATAGCTGAGTCTGCTTTGATTTGCTGCTGTTAGGTATGAAGTTGTTATCACAGTCAGTGCCCCCTGCTACAGGAGTCCCTAGCAAAAAATGTGGGCAATCATTTTCTTGGCTCTGATAGGTTTGAGGAGACTCAGACTGGGGGTGGTAGCAGAAGAGAAAAGCTCTTTTCTTTCTATATTCAATGAGTTAGGGAAATTAGAAGGAATTATTTCAAGAGCAAATAAAACTATGCATTTAAAATTTTAATATAAGCAGAGTGTATATGCAGAAAATCTCAGGCGTCTAAGTATAATTTCTATTTCAGTCAGAACACAGCATTTGATCAAAACCCCACAAGGGATTTTATTTTTCTCTGGCTCTTTACCTAACCCAATTGTGAGGCATATTAGGAAAACCATGAGAACAATCTGTTCTTGTGAAATTGCATTTACACTCATTCTTGTCTGAAAAGTGATGATCATTAATTTGTGAAAGACATGATTAATGAGTCGGCTGCCTATGGGTTTCAAAATATGGGCTTTGAACTTGGAATACGAAACTGTGATATTTCCTTCCCCTAGAAAATTGGCCATGGAAAAACAGAAAAGGAAGGTTTCAAAGTAGTTGATCCTGTCATCATTGAAAATTTCAAAATCGAAGTAAATAATTGGCTTGTTTTCTAACCCCATACTGCACTTTTTTCAATGATAGAAAACATCAAGAAAAATTTAATATGCCTAATAGCTATGCTTTTGCTCATGGGAAACATAGCTAGATTAGCAATTTATTCCCTAATTTGCTTTTATTCAGTTTTTATATTTGCAGAACATAAATTTTAAAAAGCTTATCTAAAAATCCACTTTGTGGCTTTTATCTACATGTATCATTGTTGATTCAATCACTGCATTAAACACCTGATTCTCTGAGTAGGGCGAGTAGAATGTTCAATGTAGGAGCACGTCATTACCATTTGGCTGTGATGTCTACTTCCCTAGGGACTGGTGGAAACACCAAATAGCATGGAAACCAAAAAAAAAGAAAAACGGGTATATTAGCTCTAGAATTTTCAAGTATAATCTTGGACCACCTAGAATGCACTTCTTATGACTGTTTTCTCTGTCCTTTTTGTCACTTATTGTCGTGGTACAACATATTCAAGTGGGCTCTTAAGTTAAATACCCTGAGATCCATCTGTACCCCTGATTAGTGGCTTGAATTTGGTATGGAGGAACCTCTTTGAGCCTCAAGTTATCCATCTTCAATGAGGAGCCCATAATGGAATCCTCTTCATAAATGTATTTGGAGAATTAAAAGCTTTGACCCATATAATGTTCCTGGCATAACACATGACACCCCTATGAACACCAAGTTCAGAGTTAACACAACAAATGCAAGCTCTTGTTAATACTGTTGCCATTGTGATTACCATGTTTACTTTTATCATCATGAACCCTGTAGAGTGTTTGGACACTTCAGCCACCGCTCTGAATGGCAGCTGGTTAAAGTGGACTACAAGTCCATTTTCGACAGACGGTGTGCCGAGGAGGACTACAGGCCTTGGCAGCTACACAGCCAGGTAAGGGGAAGACAGCTGAGACTGAGCCCTGGGCAGGGGGCATGAGAGGTGCTCAAGGAAAGCTCATCCTTCAGACTTAGAAACTGGAGATCTCTAGGCCAAAATGCCCATTTCTTCCTTTCGTTCTTTCTTACATATTTTGCATGACACAGCATTGAACAAACTCAACATTTATATCTTGTTGTGAAGTTATTTCTGTTTTATTATGCTAGAATATAATGAGATAAAATTCAAATGTGCTTGGCTTAGACTTACAACTCAAAATGAAATACCAACTCAGCACTGAGATTCAAACATAATTTATCTGAGCATGTCATACAGTGGGGGCAGGGTGAGGAAAAGATCTTCCACTTTATCTACCAATTCAGACAGAGGCAAAGCATAAAATGACAAACTAATGCTCCATAAGCAGTTCCAGAAAAACCCTTCCTGTCCATTTCCTGGATTCCCTGGGAATACATAGTACTTCTTGCCTCCTTCTAAGGTACTCAAAGTATAAGAATACAGAATTATGAATAGGAAACTTTCCTACATCCTGGCCTCTTAGTTATTCAACTCACATCAAAAGGCTTGGATGAAAATGTCCCTTTAACTTTCTATGGCGGGAACCATTTCTACAGGCCTCTCTGAGGATCTAGTGGAAGCTCTTATTGCAAAGCCATCACTTTGTTCAGGCAGTGAAACATGGTAGGCTCCAAACCTGGACTAAGGAATGCATTTGCATGAAGATGTGTAATGGAGCCTCAGGAAAGACAGCCTAGAACCAATTAAACACAATTCTGCTCTCGTTGTTCAGAAGCACAAAAGAAGCTATGTTTGACAGTGGGCGCTGCATTAGCTAGAAACACCCTCCCTATTCAGAGGCTCAACAATAAAATTATCGCTCACTTACATTGCTGCTATTTTCCCCTTTGGGATGCATAAGCATTGTGATATTCAAAGCTTTTATTTATTTCATGGAAAACACTGAATTTAGCTCTCTTGTTTGTCTGGTAGATGAACATAAAATCAGTGCTATAAAGATGTGTGGGCAGAAGCATAATAAATCGGGACAAAATGGTTCTTTACATTTCTTAGCAACACTCGTATTTCGTATGCTCATAAATGACCAACTGTATAAATCTTTTGTTAGAGGAGAATTGAACTTAATTACTACTGGTTTGCCAACTAGTTATAATCTGTCTTAATTATCTGTGTGTCCTCTGTAGCACTAAGATGTAACCCTCCCCCAGTACCAGTTTGTTAAACACATGAAAAGTTAGGGATTTATTAGATAAATTCCAGTACTTCTTAGTATTATCTTTATAGTCACATATTATGATAGACATCAAAAACAAAATGCGGTTAGCAAAAAAGTACCACATCAGAATCTGTGTTACACTGAGGTTTGTGAATATCTCCCTAACCTTCCCTAATGTGGAACAGGAAACATACAAGCTATGTGCCCAGCTGTGTGTGATGGTTGTCTGTTCACAGGGGGAAGCATGCATCATGGGAGCCAAGAGGATATACAAGAAGCGAAAATCCGAGCGGAAGTGTATGCAAGGAAAATACGCAGGAGCTATGGAATCTGAACCTTGTGTTTGCACAGAAGCTGATTTTGACTGGTGAGCTGGCACCATTATTCCATGGAGTCATTCTATATTTCAAATACACGTGGCCCTTGAAGAGAGTTTAGATTGGAAATAGTAGTGACATATGTAGGGCTCATGGCAAACCTCAGATTCTTATAAGATTATCTCTTGGGGACATCATGGTTACTAGCTATGTGCCTACATGATGACAAAACCAGGCATTTCTTTAGATTTAAAGAGGATTAAGAAGATAGTTGGTAATTATCTTCATAGAGTTGATGGATACTTTGGTCAAAAAGAGAAGCTAGATCTATCCTATGTTACTTTGGACAGCAACTCTGAAAACAATAATTGGACTTTGCAGGGTACGAAGATAAAGTCTAGATAAATTCTTTCTGGAATCCAGGGTTTTCAGTAGGAAATGATGGTCTTATAAGGCAGTAAATTCTCTGTCTCTGAAAATTTTCAATCAGTGGTCAGCTGAGTACAGCTAATAGAGATGTGGAAGACATTTGTGAACTCATTGTAAGGATGGATTTGATAGCATTATGAATTTTTGAAGTGGTAAAGAAGCTGGTTAAAACTGGAGAAGTACTGAGACTTTGAGTGGTTTAAACGAAACTCAGAGTGCCGTAGAATTCTTGCTGGAACATTTGCTAAGCAGAAACTTTGCTTATGGGACCAAAGATGAGTACCTTCACTTCATTCTTAGTCAATGTTTAGTGGTCAGGTAAGGTTTACAAATTATTAATGGTAAATGATTGTTCCATTTGTAATTATCTCTATCACATTTTATGTTATTTATTTTCCTCTTCTGTATTTCTGTTGTATATAGTTATGCATGTGTGTGTGTGTGTGTGTGTGTGTATTTTTTACTTTAGAGAAAACAATCACTAAATAGGTATGTAGATGTTGAACAATTGAAATGTGACCTGGATAAGAGCTTTATCCAGGTCTTTAACAATTTATTTCTAACTGTGTAACCATCACAGGTCAAACACCTGATCATCAAAATATCAGTGATCAAACTGAGACATTGTGTGTGTGTGTGTGTGTGTGTTTATAAAATATTTTAGAAGAATTTTGCCTTCTCTAACATTAGGACACTGGAGATGTTCTCTGAATGAGTAGTACTGAGAAGGCCTGACAAAACTGGGCTCCAGTGGACTAACAACCACCCATAGCTATCCCCTTTATTGATGGATAAGGCAAGTCAGCTGGACACAGTGGTGCACACCTGTGATCCCAGCGACTCCAGAGGCTGAGGCAGGGGGATTGTGAGTTCAAAGCCAGCTTCAGAAACTTAGTGAAGCCCTAAGCAACTCAGTGAGACCCTGTCTCTAATTATATATATATATAAAATGTGTGTGTGTGTGTGTGTGTGTGTAATATATGGCTGAGGATGTGGCTCAGTGGTTAGGCTTCCTGAGTTCAATCTCTGGAACCAAAAAATAAATAATAATAAATAAATAAATAAAAGAGCCAGTGCTGTGTCTCTTTGGGGTCAGCCAAGGCAACAGAGCTGCAATGACTTTAGCTCACAAGGACTTCCACAGGAGCCTCCCCAACAATGACTTCTGTTGTAGTCAGTGCAACATTACACTAATAAAGTGACAAAAATAAAAATACCTGTCCTGCACTTTGGCACTGACATCCTGAAATATATTTATAAGAAATCTTACCATGGGTTTTTCAGTCAGTCATCACAACCTCTTTCCCATCATGCACTTTATTCAAGGATTTGCAGAGGAAGTTAGCATGCTACACTACCAGCTTAGCTTTGGCCTTATGTAACAGTCATTTGTTTTCGGAGAGCAAATTTATTCTCTGGTAGAAAATTTAAGAGGATAAGTAAGAAGAGAATCCCCAATTCCCTCGTTTCTCCTGGAGACATTTCTTTAGGTTTATTTTCTGCAAGGTTCCAAAATAAACCAGCATGTTGTTCCTGTTCTTCATGTTCAATTGAGTGGAGGAAACCCAGGATACGGAAAGCAACCAGGCTTCTCTCCTTCCCTATTCCTTGGCCCTATCCTTGCATTCATTTGTGATGGGGATCTGTCATCATCTCACCAGCTGAACTGCATTCAGACAGGAAGAAAATTAATCATAAACAAGGCCATTGTAAGGTTTTTCTGGTCAGATGGGATTTGGGGGAACTGCATGATTTGTGAAAATATTTTGGAAGGCTCACCATGACGTTGTTGGGCTTTTACTGGTGGCTGGGATTTCAGTGATTCCACCTGACTGCAGTGTAATGAAAAGTGTTGTTACTGAATGTTCCCTTTTAGCTTGGCTCCCTGGACATTGCCCCAGGTGACCTTGCCAGGCGTGCTCCAGCATTTTTAATGTAATTCCCTGAAGTGAGCACTGGGTGTCCTGGAGGCAGCGATTCTGAAGTCTTACTACCCATGCTGTGTTGAACCAGCACCAAATTTAGCTGGTATGTGCAGAATTCTAAGTACCAGCTGCCTGGAGACAGGCCCCTGAGCTCAGCCGATGTCTTCCTTCCCACCCCTCATGTGCCAGCATCTCACCTCCATTACACAGATGGGCCAATTCCTACTAATGCTTGCTGATTGCTGCCTGCAATTTGTCTGTGCATGCAGAGGTGCAATTTGTTGTCATCCTCTGTGCCTGGTTTCATCTCCCAGAAGCCAAGAATATCAGGCCACTCAGAGGCCCCTGGAAGCAAGCAGAGAGGACTGGGAGAGAAGACAGTTTCCAAACCAGAGAGAAGCTATAGAGCTGTTAGTCCCAACTGGCAGCAATTACTACCTGGGACAAAACTTTTCCTAAGGGGATGCTCTAGACACTTCTGAAGGACATTTTTTTTTTTTTTTTGGCCATGACTTTAAAACATATGGTTTGTGCACAGGGAAACCTGGCTCTGCTTTAGTCGGTAAATCCAGATGTCTTGGAAGAGCATCCCAAAGACATCACCGGTAATGAGGCCTGTGCCACATGTGGCTGTATTAAACTCTATGGAGGAGTCGTTTCTAGGGCTCCAGTTTCCACCACTGCCTGGTTTCTAATTACATTCAGTGTTTCTTTCTAATGAGAACATAACCCACAATTTTAACTTAAAGGTGCTTAAATGGAATTATCGATTCTGCAGGAGGTTTTCATGGATTGTTGATAGATAGTCTATGGGAGGCAAGTTCCATTTTTAAGCTATTGATTTAGGGAATACATCCTTTTGACTGACTGGGGTAGAAGGTGGCTGTGGACTAACATGGAATTGTTCTGCGTCATTTTCCACCTACTGAAAGGTTTATCTTGGCTCTTTCCCCCACAGTGACTATGGCTATGAGCGACACAGCAACGGGCAGTGCCTGCCAGCATTTTGGTTCAATCCATCCTCTCTCTCAAAGGACTGCAGCATTGGACAGAGCTACCTCAATAGTACTGGGTGAGTTTCGGAGGCAGTGACCTTGAGGGGGTCAATCTTTTCGGCTTTTGAGCACGTGTTCAACTGACAGAATTACTTGTGATCCAAGACTGTGTAATGCATGTGCTTCATTTTAATAAGACAGCACAGGTTGGCATTGATAGTGCACTTTGTATCTGGGGCTAAGACTCTGGTTTCACATACACAAAGGAGGAAGGTTTCCTTGGAGGAAGAAGATGATGATGCTATTTACATAGACATTTCTTCACTCTTTGATACTTTATCAGCTCTTTACTCATGTGAGGTTACCTTTTACACTCACTCCATCTGCATGAGGAAGGCCAAATAGATGATTTTTTTAATGTGCTTTTTGTTTTGTAGATGTGGAAGCCTGAGTCAAAATGGGAGCTCATTAACTTTTCAACTTACAAGTTTTAACAGGAGTGTGCTTTGCTTTCTGTCTGTAGTAAGGAATTGCCTCATGTGAATTGGAAACAGGACAGTTTCAGGATCTGCAGGATGAATCAGCAATCTGGAGACCCAGAAAAGCTGATGGCTTAGTTCCAGTCTGACTCAGAAAGCCAGTGGTAGAGTTCCTGTCCAAAGGCCAAGAAGCTTGAGACCCAGAAAGAAGCAACATTTAGGTTGGAATCCATAGACTAGGAAATAGCCAGTGTCCCACATTCTGGGACATCAGTCATAGGAATTGTCTCTTACCTGGGGTGGGTGTGGGGGAGACTATCAAACTGTCAGACTTTCTGTTCTCTTCAGACCTTCACATGATTAGTTTAGGTCTACTCACATCAGGGAGAGCAGTCTGCTTGTCTACCTATATAAATGTTAATCTCATCTAAAGACATCCTCACGGAAACACCCAAAACAATGTTGAACTAAATATCTGGGCACCTGTAGCCCAGTCAGTTTGACATTGAATTAACTATCACCAGTGATTTAAAGGAGTTCTATATTTAGCTGTGATAAAGGCATTTTGGTTAGGATAAGGAAAATAAGTCTTTTCTTTTAAAGATGTATAATGTCTGTGTTATGTGCTTGGATAAGAAGTATACATATTGAAAACTTTTGAAGATGAGTAAATGAGTACAGTATTGATCATTGTACTATTTTCTCTCTTTTGTGTCTTTCCAAATTCTCATATAAAAAGGTTAAAATGATAGAAAGAAAAGGGAAGGGAAGGAGATGGGAGGGAAAGAAAAGAGAAAGAAGAGGAATTAAGATCTTAACAATAATCTAGGTCTATTTGTCCAAGTTTCTTTTCATTTCTAATGCCAGCTGCAGGATACAGAATCCACTGCAGGAAGTGAAATTTTCATTTATGTACTTCTTTATTAAATTTTTTTAATATTTTAAGTTTTAAAATATTAAATATTTTTATAATATAAACCAAATTTTATAAATTATTATTCTGAAGGAGTAAAAGATGCAGAAATGGACTTTGACTATTCCTATGTCTCATGTTAGGGATTCCTTTGGATGAAGGAATACCTTTGGATGAAGGAATAAACTATGATTCATTTAAATAAAAGCACAAAATATGAGGAAAATGTAATAGGTCAGAGAGGTCTATAGCATCTAGTACCTTGGAGAACAAAATAAAAAGGGCTAATTATTTAATTAAACTTAATGGAGAAGGAAGGCAAAGACAAAAATATTTGATTATTTGAATGTACCAGCATGTTTGGACATTGTAAAGAGCACTGGGGATCCATAAAGGTAATTTAAGAATTGCTTATTTCCACCACCAACTCAAATCAGTCCGAGACATTGTATTATTCTCTCTTTGGTGTTAATGAGAGGAATCTGAAGCTCAATAGGTCACAGTTGTTCCAGATCTGATGCAATCACAGGAATAAGATGGAGTGACCTCTTACTTTTCAGTTTATTGAGATTGTATAAGTCCTGAATATACTGACTTATATAAAATGAAACATCAAATGATTAAGTTACAATTTCCTATTCAGAAGCATTTATTGCCTGTGCCCTTGAAAAATTACAGTTTCCGTTGATTTGGTGATAAGTGTCCGGGTTACATAAATGTGTATCAATGCAATTGTTTATGTTCAATAGTCAAAATCAGAACATAGTCTCCTACAGTACAACCTGCACCCTCAGGGTTATGTTCTTATCAATGAGCATTAAAGATAGCTTCTGACCCCAGGTGATTTTTATTAGGTTGCTGTCCACTGGGTTTGTACATTCCATTCAAACATTTTGCACAAAAGCATCAGCATCAGTCTAAGAGCTTATGTGAAAAAAAACATGTGATAAGTTCTAGGCATCAGTAGGTATGACCTGCACTTCTAAGAATGGTGCTCATAGGTGGAGGAGTAACCACTGGATTAGGGTCCTATAGGGGTCAGTCGGAGGGAGAGGTGTCAGTAATAAACTCACTGATCAGTGTATCTCATGAGTCACTCATTTTGCATGGGGAACTGGAAGACCTTCAGTTGGGACAAGGGCCTGAGTCATCTTATAAGACCTCACAACATCAAATTCCCATGTGCAGTGTTTGTAGCCAGCTCTAGAGTTGTCAAGTGGAAAAATGTAGGTGAAACTGAAAAATAACTCTCTGTCTTTCCTAATGTCAGCGCAGCATATCACCTCAGATGTCCCTTGGCTGTGTGTTGATTCAGCAATATTTCATAAGCACAGATTCAGCATGTAATATTGTAGTCACTACAATGCTGCTACCTTTCTATTAAAAATATTTAATTACAAAAGAATTGTATAGATATGTTTTAGGTGTTAAAAAGTCTGCTTGGATCATTACCCGATCCTAGCCCCATTCTCACAACTATTTATTTGGTATTCATGCTTCCACACACTTTTTTTAGCATTTGCCGGTGAATACCTATGCCAAGAAAAAGTATATAAAATTAATTTGGAAGGCTGTTTTTGTGTGATTTGCTGTTTTTATGTGATAGATATTCTGTTTCCCTTTTTAAGTTAAAAACATTTTAAACATCTTTCCAAGTCAGAATATAGAAGGCTACTTTCCATCTCATTTCTTTTTATCCCATGGTATTAAGTATTATAGAATTATTTAATTGTTCCCTTTCATGAACATTTGGGTTGGTTTTTTTTTTTTTGCCACTATAAACAAGGCTACAATTAACATTCCAATACCATATTACTTGTTATTAAAAACACACAAAGCTAATTAAATCTCTTGGCAATGGAGGTGTTTCTGCTAGATTATAAAGCAAATTCCACTCAGCCAACTGGACCTGAGTATTAGGTGGTGCCAAATAGTTCCCTTACAGGGTTTTAAACAGGAACCTCCTGCCCACCTGTTGCCTGTGAGTCCCACAAGGTAGGAATTTGAATTAACTGCCACCCTCTTTAGAGGCAAATGCCAGTGGATTCAGTAAGGGTAAGATGAGGGGAAGCTCAAGTAAGATTTTCCTAGATGAATCAGGTAAACAGGGTCCTTTCTGGCACAAAGAACAAGAGATGACTGGTGACAGGGCCACACTGGTAATCTTCTCATGGCTCTGACACCAGTGCCTGGAAGCTATAGAAGTAAGGAGCCACTGTGCCCCCTGAGTCTCTCCAATGACTGTTTTAACCTGTCCTTGAGAAGCTTGTGCTCAGTCAGTGTAGGATAACCTCAGGACTGGGATGAAGTGCAGAAGAATCCCAGCTGTGGCTTGGCCTGCAGTTAGTGCCTGCCTGCAGGTTACTCCTGGGCTGAACCTCCCAGAATAGCTTCTGGAGCAGAAATGTAGTCAAAACTTGAACTGAGTGGGTCTATTAAACCAAAGGTCACCCTTGTCCGTCCAGGGCAGTAAGCAGACCTCCCAGCATCACCATTTTGAGAGCTTAGTTGGAAGCAAGCAGGAAGACCTTCCTACTTTTTATTTAGTTTTGAAAGACTCAATGTATAAATGGTTAGGGTTGATTTCATAATCAGCTTACTACTGTGTGTATAGAGCAGTGTTCTCAGGTTTCACCAAGGTGGAAAAATTCCTGCATATGTTATTAATATGCCAACAGAAAGGCTGTTTTGTTTTTTGTTTTTTGTTTTTTGTTTTTTTTTTGCCAGGGGCAAGGGGTACCAGTGATTGAACTCAGGGGCTCTCAGCCACTGAGCCACATCCCAAGCCTTATTTTGTATTTTAGTTAGAGACATGGTCTCACTGAATTGCTTAACACCTTGCTTTTGCTGAGACTGGCTTTGAACACTTGATCCTCCTGCCTCAGCATCCCAGGCTGCTGGGGCATCGGGTGTGCACCACCACACCTGGCTAGAAAGGCAGTTTTTGAGGAGATGCCAAAATGTTTATCAGCTTCACTGTATAGATGTGAACGTTTGGACAATTTCTGTTTCAGTTCTTGGCTAAAACTTAGAAAAGATGGTTTAAAAAAGAAGTGAGTAAGCGCAGAATATGCCTCCAGGGGGCCGCCATCCTGACTCCTAGTCCACTGGTATCAGGGTTTCTAATGTCCACGCCTGGAGCAGCGAGTCAGCAAAGCCCTGCTGTCTTCCACTGTCAGCTACCTGCCTGGTTCACCTCTGGCCCCTTAAAACGTCCACAAGCCATTTCACATCCCGATGAATAGTAAGGGGTTTGCCTGCTTGGACGGAAAGTGAAATATAATTAAGGATATTTCATATGGTGTAAAAGAGAGAGATTTTTGAATGAAATGATGGAGGGTTTTCCATCCAAAGCTACCATTGACTGTTATCTTTCGTGAGTGATTTAGTTTCTTTGAGCCTTAGTTTTCTTAACCTATTACATTTTGCTATTTGCCTTCAAGTGTGAATAACTGTGATACCATATAGAAAGCATGTAGCAGAATGCTGGGCACATGTATTACAAGATACAAATACCATCAATTGCTATCATCTAAGGGTTTCTCTAGAGTAGAGAAAAAGAGAGGGGTAGGGAACTTTCTTTTATTGTGAATCTGTAGCCCAGACATGTATTTGATGCCTGGTTGTCACTGCAATGCTGATATCTGGGACATTTTTCATCTAAACCTCTGCTATGCTGTCTATA